CCAGCCTCTTGTGCCTCGGATCCCTCAAGTATAAAATGGAGACAGACAATATAAAGAAATGGTTTTATAGGGCTTGCTTAGAGGAGTAAAAACAGCTAATAAAGTACTGACGAGCAAACACTCTAAAAAGGCTAGCTAGCACTACTATTATTATCAGTGTAAAATTACTGTCCCTTAAAATAAGTCTTAGACTAGCATAGGTCTGCATCATAAAGGCTACAACCCCAAAACTAGACACATAGGCAACAGAAAGATGGAAAGAAGAAAAAAAATTAAAGCAAATGTCTGGTCAAACAGATGTTGCATAACAAGAGATGTTGAGATATCATATAGCAGAGATTGCAGCTCAGAAGTAAATCTTAAGGAGACACTAAATTAGGAGTTGAAAATTAATAATAAAAAAGGGGGCAGACAACAACTTTATCCACAAAATGCCCTGTGTGACTGCCATTCCTGTCTTCATTTTACAAAGAAGGAAATAGAATGAGAACGGATAAATACCTTGTTCAAACTTGTGCAAGTGGGAGGGAGACAGAGAGAGAGAAAGTGTGCCATTAAGAGAAAGAGAGAAGATTCTAGGTCAAATCTTTAAGAGAATTTGTGTTCTGTGTGTAAGGCTTACTAAAACTCTTCTAGTAACTCCTTATAGAAATGCGACATAGGTGTTGAAATAGAGCCCCACACATAAATCCAGAGCTGAAGATCAGGTGACCGAGCCTCCAAATACAGGGTCCCCCTGTCACTGCGGTGGCCTAGATGAGAGAGCACCCCACTATTAAGAAGTGAGATCTCAACTGAGGGGACAAGAGAGCAGCAGGGGAGAGAGAAAGGAGCGAGGTCTAGCATCCTTGATGCCTCAGAGGTCTCTCTTGTGTGTCTGCCATAGCTGTGAAAAGCATTGAGGTGTTTCTCTTGTTCAACACCATTCTAAGAGGGAATCAAACCTCAAAGGCACCTTTTTCACTTCAGGAAACATATAGGCAGTCCACCTGGCAGAATGTGACTTTGGTGGGACTAGAGTTTTTTTAGTAAGCCTTCCACTCAGAACACAAATTCTCCTGACTATTTGACCTAGGGTCCTCTCTGCCCCCACCCCCTACTTCTGCCAGGAGATCTGGTCCTGACTGCACGCAATGGGGGGGGGGGTAAGAGAGAGGGGTGCAGGGTGGAGGGGTGGGGGGGTGAGGGTGGGTGTTGAGGGGAAGATTCTAACACCTGCATTCCTCTCACTTCCACTTTCCATTAGGCCAACTGGGCACTTTGGATTTTCAACCACTTAGATAAACTCCTCCCATCCAACCCCTCCCTCTGATGACCAATAGAGGGCGAACTGTCCCTTCTTCCAGAGACAGTTCCATCAGCATTACATTCTCACTCCCTCTCCTTTCAGACCTGTTGCTGTTTTTTCTCCACAGCTTGGAAGACTACCCTTTACCCTTGTCCCAACTATCCTTTTCAAGTGTTTATCTTCGTGGCATTTTCTAAAAGCAAGATAGAGGGCTATGGGTAAGAATGTTCAGATAATATCCTTTTTGTCTGTAATTCTTCCCTTCCTTTTCGACCCATGCATACATCTGTAAGTTCTGCCCCCTCTAGTGAGCAGACAATCTAATGGGGTTCAGAGTGAGCTGTAAAATAATAGTACAGATGTTATGAGCAAAGGTGCTTAACAAAGGGCTATAGAATAGACAAGAGAATAAGATCAAGAATGCCTCCCAGAGGAAAGATGAAGCCACCCTCCGTGGAAGACTCTTATATGTGTAGGTATATTTCAGCATCTATGCACAATTCCTCCCAGTCTATCTTCTCCTTTGACTACCAGTTGGCACCATGCTGAGCCCACCCAAGCTTTCCTCTGTATCATAAAGATGAGGGGTTCTTTTGTGTTTGAGCCTTAATCTCATCACTGTGGCTTCTACCACCTAATGTACCCTCCTGAACTCCACAGAAGAAACAGCTATATCGCATCTGCTCTAAATCCACGTACTCGTTAGTTTTGGAGAAGCTGCCAGGCCCTTGTAGGTTTTGTATTTTCACTAGTAACAGGCTTTAAGCAACTCTTCCGGTTTTCTCCCTTGCTTCTCTATTAATTATACGGCCAAGAGCCTAGGTGTAACTTGAATTTTCTGAGCTGATACATTCATCTTAGCCTTAAGGACCGCTCCAGCCCTTTCTAATTGTGACTGCAATTCCTGGGAGAAGTTAGCCTTTCTCACCACTGTCTGTCTGTCTTCCAGGTGAAATCCCAGGAAAGGTGGGTAGTGACCTCCATATTGTCACATGCCTGTATTCAACCTCCAGCTTTCCCTATCCATGCATATGCTGCCTTAAAAAAAAAAAAAAAAAAAAAAGCAAGACCACTTCACACCACAGTGGTTCTCCCACTTCTTCATTTTTATTTCTATCACCTGACTTTGGCTTTTCCTGTTAAATCCTGCAATGCTATCTGCTACATTTTAATAATGTCTTTACACTTGCATTTTTAACAGAACTATAGATAACCTCTTCTGTGACAGTGGAAAGGGGCTTTTAACATGGTGCAATGGTGACAGGTTTTTGGCCAATCCCACAGTGACTTATTAGTACCTTGTTAGGGTACAAAAATCATGTTTAAGTATTGCATGTTTTATTTTTCTTGAGTTTTGCTAATAGAAAATCTATGATGTTTGAAATATTTGTACCAGTTAATACTTACCATAACAGAATCTTAGGGATGAGGTCCTTTGGAGATCATCTAACTGCCCTACACAATTGCAGAACTGTCTCTAGTGTATCTCTGTTGACTAGTCATTCCAACAGCTCTTTAAACCCTCTTAGAAAATGGGATTCTCACCCCCCCACACACAAACTCCCTTTCCAATGGTGAACATCTCTGTGATTCTGATAATTAGTAATAATCGATAAGATTCTTCCTCCCCCCAGGACAAAGAAATATCATTGGAGAAATGCTTAGTTTTCTGATGCCAGGGACTGACAAATATTCCACTGGTAACTTTGACTTTTTGGTTCAGGATTAGAGTGGCTAAACCAAAATATTTATAATAAGTATAAATTTGTTCCGCAAACAGAGGATTTCAAAGGCGTCCTTGTTTCCTTTCTCCTTACACTGCTGGGCTATTAACTTTTGCTTCATTAGTCACCATTTTCAGTATCCACTTGACTGCCACCTTCCTGTTACCAGGCCATCTTGGCTCAGAGGGTCGCGGGCCATTCCTACCTCACACCTGCCACAGGACCTGAATTTTCCCCTGAATGGATCCAAGTCACTTTCTGTTAATTCACTAATTTTACAGACACCGGTCCACAGTCTGTGAATGGGGGGGGGAAAGGCACTCCCGAGGCCATTATTGGTCAGAAAAGAGCCTTTTCTGACCGAGAAAACAGTCTCCATAGGATTCAATTTGCATCACTTCAGTTGCTTTTTTAGTTGCTTTATCACAAAGAATATTGACCATTTATCTTCTTTATTAATACATTCACAATAAATGAAAAGAAAAAAAAGAAAGAAAACCCACCACTTCTGTCCACGAGCTTGGGAAAGAAAGGGGCACGCCAGATAACATTAATGATGCATAAGATAGACGGGTCTGGTCATGTCAAGACTTGTAATTCGGCAGGCAGCCTTACTCAAGGGAGAAAAATTCGGCTCTGCTAATTTCTCTTCACCCCCTCCCACAATGAAAACCCGAGCACGGACAGCAGAGCAACAAAACACACACAGGCTGTGAACAGTATGAATTCAACTCAAGCTACGGCGGCGGCCCCCGGGAGTCGCCCCCCTGCCGCCCGCGGAATATTTACCTAGACCTTTTAAAGCTCTTAATTAATTCACCAGCAGCTTCGCTGGAGGCGTCTCGAGCTTCCCGAGACTCCATTACATAATATCTTTTACGAAGTCTACCCCCAGCTTGAGTGGAAGATGGATTCTCATCCAGTTTGCAGAGGTTCCGCGCTTTTGCTTCCCTCTCCCTGGGTTCGAGCTGGCGGGTGCCCCAGCCAAGGCTGCAGCAAGACACCC